GCTACCTCGATCTACTTCGACGTCCACCAAGCGTAGCTTTCGCCAAAGTTGTCTCTTGATCTGTTGCGCCTTGTTGAAATTTGTATGTTGTTATTAGTGATCACAACTGACATACTCATGTTGGGAATGAGAGCAAGCTCCGGGGAGGAATCCTTCAAGCTTATTAAAGTGGCCAAGCAAGGGCAGCTAAGGGAAGGAGTAATATGATAGTGATGGGCTGATGGGAGTCACTTGATAAATGGTTAGGAAATGCTACCCTTTGATTTAGAACGTCACGGGAAGCCAGCAATCACTGGAGGACCCAGTCTTCTGCACTGCTCTTGCACATCCTGACAGGACCTCCGCTGTATCTTTTGAGAGCGGTACTTGATAGAATCCTTCTCTGATAGTTCTTGCATTCTTTCCCCAACACGAATGTGACGGTTGTAATCATTGGCGACAACATACAAAAATTTCGCCTACGCAAAAGATTCGTTCCGGAAGAGAAAACATAACTTTTCAAAAAAACACACTCCAAGTAGATGCGCTGCAAGGCGATGGCGCATGAAAAAAGGGGCGCCTTGGGCGGCCATGTAATCAGGCGAATCCAGCATATGGAACGGATGTCCGGTGGGAATTTGAACGACTAGCAGTCCTTCCGGTTTTCCGAACTGTTTACCAAAACAAAAGCATTTTTTTCGTTCTTTTATTCTTAGCTTGTACGATGGGTCTCATGCTAGTGAATTATGGGTGAGATAAGTGAGATAGGTTACGATTCCTGCGAGAAAGACTCCTTCAACACTGTGGCTGCCGCGGAAACAGAAGCGAACTCCCGATTAATAATTTTGGAAGCCAGTGTTTCGCACGGTGATGCGCACGAAATAGCAATTGGAAATGGAGGAACGGTGCAAGAAGTATAAACGCACATGCTTTCGAACGTCGAACGAACCCCATGCGATGGAATGATCAGTTTTTTATTCTTCAATTGAATGATTTGCACAGAAATTTTCTAAGAATGTAAGTCGAACAAGCGAAGCTTTGCAGAGACAGCTGCAAAAAATATTGTCGTAAAAAACTGCCGATCAGGAAGAGCCCCGTTGCTTATAAAGTACCGTTAAGACGACTTTCATCTTGACCTAGGCTGATATCTGTGAGGAGAAAGCTGCTACTCGGTGTACTGAGAATATCCCCCCCCCCCGAGTTATGACAGAATCTAAAAATTCAAAACAGGTCAAAAACCCCACTATAAAATTACAAAAGCTTCTTCAAACAGTTATGACACCTCTTCAAGTCGATCAAATTCAGGGTGAGCCTTAGCTTTCAAGGATACATTTGACGAATAAATAGGATATGGGAACAGGCAGTTTTTAGATAGTATTTTCTTCCACTTTTTTGAACCCTCAGTTGAGAATATAAAAGCACAACCCGTGGACGAGTTCATGTAGATGAATCTTTGCGAAGGGTAGGATAAGGCTGCTTGCGAATGCGGTGATGTTCTATTCTCCCAGCTAAAAAGTGGGGCGGAAGTGGTGTAGTGGACAAGTGGCGCGCTTACCACGCGAGCGGTCCGGGGATCAAATCCTGGGTCGTGAGTCGCCCGGGCCAACCAAGCCTTCCATCCCTCCGGGGTCGGTTAATTGGTACCAGACTTGTCTGGGAGGATAAAAACACTGACTTGTACATCGGCTGGCCCCCGCAAGTCATTGTATAGGCCACATCGCATTCAAACGCCACTACGAATGTACAAATGGAAGTAGAATGCGTGCCGCATCCCAAAAAGGGATTGATCAACGGCAAATGCTTTATCCTTTATTTAAAAAGTGCGCCACAAGGGCACCAAGATCTGTCGAGGACCGCTTAAATCGGTTCTATTTTCTCGTGCGCGTGACATGCCGGTGTCTAGCGTCCTCTTATCCCTTATGGTCTTTCGCCCATCCTCTTTCCTCCGCGCTCAGTCTTCCCATGTCTTAGTACAGCCGAATGGAAAAACTGATCAAGCCCTTAACTTTTGCTTTTTGGTCGGATTTCTTCTTCGGATTTTTCTTTACTGCCAGCCCACTTCAGTCATACTCCATATAGAATCAAACTGGCGGTGCAAAAGCCTTCTAGGGCTATTAAAATCATCATGCTCAAGATCACCTGCTCAAAATTATGCCGAATGTCTCTTCTACAGGCGTTCAAAGAAAAGCGGAGACTAGGCGTTATTACTTATTTACATAAATGTTCTCCTGCGCAGCACAATCAGCTGAAGTAAAATCTGTGACAAGCGAAAAAGGCTTGTTGCGTGGAATGTGCCCCATTCCCCCTTTCCTCTACGCCTTATTGAACGTATCCATTCATATCGTAAGGTCCATCTACTTTCCATGACAAATAAGGGGAAGGGATGACACCCTGTCGATACGATTTCATGATTGCTTGTTATCAACGGCAATTCCTTATGAATAGCTGATCACGAGGATCACAGAACTTCCGTAATAACTTCCAAATAGGTGGCTCATGTGAGATTCTAGGCCACTAACACCTAGAGGTGCTCATTGCACTTGCCAAGGGAAGTGAGTTTGGTGGTAGTGTACAATTCTACAAGTTGTGCCACTGGAACCGCTTACTTTTGTGTACTGGTCGCTTATCCCTCAGTACATAGACAAACTCGCTGAGGCACCATCAGTGGGCGATACTGTCGCGTCGCTTTTGCTAGAAACTACGTCGCGAGAACCACCGCCAATTGCCTTGCTACATGGAGGAAACTTTTGATCGCGTTCCAGGTGAGGATGCAGTACGCTTCGCGACAACATGAAGTTTCTGAAGGGCTTTTTGAATATGTTCGCATGCTCTATTCGAACGTAGAGCAGCAGTCCAAGCAGGGTTTCAACCATTCGGTCCTAGGGGGTGGAAACATGCACTAGCCCTAGTCAAAGTACATAGGAAATGTCACTGATTTGAAAACTTACCTTGAAAGGCGTTGGAAGGGGGTCTAACGCCGTCGAAGTGGGCGGATCCACCGAGCCTCGGTACGGCCGCCCACTTCTGTCGTGAAGAGTGCGTGATTGGCTGCGCAGACATTTGCGGTCGTTGCTGGGACCACCGGCTCTTGAATCGTCCTTTCAAGCATCGTGTGGGTGATGCCTGTATTTCTAAATTTTCCTCTCTCCTTAATACCTACAAGCACAAACGACGAGTTGTATTGCGCCCCAAATTGGCAATTGCCTGGCCAAGCCAGCAATTGCAATTGGGGCGCATTTACTGCGGGCATGTTCAGACAACTCGTCCAACGAGCGTCTTCCTCCATTGCTAAGTGGCAGAGGGGGAGTCCCTGTCTAAGTCCCTGTTCGACGTCTTTTTTTACTTTTTTCTTTCATTATCGGTCAGTGCTTTTTCACCTCCCAACCCATTGTTGGTGGTGTTTATCCGCAAATTGGTTCTTGGATTGTTGCTTTAGAGAGCTAAGTGCAAATGTTAGCAGGCACCCTCATGGAATTTCTCATGTGTGCTGAGTGCATCAAGGCTTCCTTTGTGTTGTTTTTATAGATGCGTCTCACAAGATCTTCAAAAACTGGCTCCATAGACGGTTCTCTACGTTGGTGAAGTGATGCTCGCCTGCAAAGACAAAAATGTGCTCGAGTAAAACAGTGTGAGCTAGATACGGCCCCCCGTGACCTCTGACCCGTAACCTGATGTTGCCTCTCCATCGAGGCTTTAACCGTCCGAGAGAACTGCCAGCTAACAAACGACTTTGAGGTTTCTGTCAAATAAACGCAACAGAGACTGTCCTGACCTGCTTGTATACTCAGTTGGTTAATTGTAGGCACTGAAGCGCCCGGACTAAAGAAAGTGTGCCTCCCATTGTTAATAAAATGGGCTAAGCTCGTCTTCGATGGTTTGGCCAGGTTCTTCGTGAAAATGATGACTGCGTCCGTAAGATCGACCCCAACATAGACGTGCCCGGAAAGCGGTCCAGGAATTTCGCCCGAAGCAGCGATGGCTCGACACGTTGCGCATATGACTTCGAATCGGCATTCCATCCCCAATTCAGGCATTCAATCGGAAAAAGAGTCGTTCAAAGTGTCTAATCCGCAAAATTGGGACCTCGTCGCTTCAATAGCGTATAAGGCTGAAAGAAGAAGAAGAAGAAGATTCTTCCCCTCGTTAACTGCTTAAAAGGAAACTATGCTTATAGTTGTGCAAACTGCGACTACCTGCTCCCTCAAGCTCTTTTTAGATTCCTTATCTATTCATCATTCCTTATTTTGTTCATTTTTTTTCAAGCGCCCAGGGAGCGGCGCCACTCATTTGACACGCAATTACGGGTACCGGACAGGAGGCCCGTCGCGCGGCGACACGGCAGCGTCAGCGGACGAGTCGCAGCGCGTAATGTGGTGGTTTCGAATAAATATGTACGTCCCATATCGCGCATCACCCTCTGTGACTCGACCGCTGACTCTGCCTTTTTTTCCTGTAGGGTACCCTGCAATTGCTGCCTCTTCTACCCTCAATCGCTGTCCTGAATCGATATTATCTAAACTATGCGCCGCGTCCAGGGGATACTGTGCAATACTATAAGCGACGCCATCTACGGCGTGGACGCATCAGAAAAATGACCGTTCCTTCCGTGCTCATTGTGATACGCTGGAGCCGCACCATTCAACATAGTTTTCTGAAGATTTTTTCCATGAAAAGAGAACGATTAACACTGATTCATTACATAGCCACGGAATCAACGGCGCGCGTAATATGTCACACTGGTAGGAATCATGATAGGGTCGAGATCTGGGGAACGTGATGGCGGCGTGCGGCGCGATTGCGTCGCGTCAGAATAAAAATACAGACGGTTACACAAGTGGAGAGATCACACTACACAACATGTGAGATCGTACTAAAGAGTGTTGTGTGAGACGTCAGAAGGATGAATCAACACACAAAGAAGTAGAATCTGAATCGAAGAGAGCATAGCCGATAGATGATTGCGACTTGACGGGTGGTCAGGTAAAGAAGGCTTGTCCATGCGAGCTGGTATGCGGCGGCATTCATTGCGGTAACGCTTTCAGCAATGAGTTCACTTCTTGGGCGACGCAACCGTAGATCAGCTTGAACTGGTCGGCGGTACGCACGAGACCTGAAAATGAGATATTTGGGCTGGACCACATGGAAATCGAGATCATGGTTAGTAAAGGGCTCGAACTGCTGAGGGAGGTGGACCAGAGCGTGCAAGTTGTCCTAGCTAAAGGAGAAGTTCATGAAACATCGATAAGCTGAGACAACCTTTTAGATTGGTTCAGAACTTTTTCTAGCGTTTGGCGCCAGTACACTGTAGGACATTCTTAGAAGTGTGCCGCGTCAGATTCCTTTTAAGGTTTAATCGGTCTGTCGGATGTCTTGAGGGCTTTCCTACGCTCAACAAATTCTAGAGGGTCCAAGATCTTTTGAGAATTCTTGGACTAGATTCCAGGGATGAAATCAGGGCTAGTTGAATTGGCAATGTACTGACGTGACTAGGCGAACATGGTTCAGTTTTTGTTGTGATTCTACTCCCCACGACCACTACCCGGGGATCAAATATCGTATCGAATTTTGTGCGGGCCAACCAAGCCTTCCATCCCTCCGGGATCGGATTAATTGGTACCAGACTTGTCTGGGAAGATAAAATACTGACTTGTACATCGGCTGGCCCCCGCAAGCCATTGTGTAGGCCACATCGCATTCAACTTGCCACCACGATTATGAATGGAAATGGAATAAATGGCGCCTCCCAAAGCGAATTAACAGACAACCAACGGCCAAATCCCTTGTCGAAAGCAAAAATTCCCTCGCTTGTGTCAGCAATTTGTTGATCGTTGATGCGCATAACCTCTCGGTGCCAATGGGGGAGCATGGTAATCCCAAACGAGTAGGGAACTTTTTTCTTGGGGCAGCAGAAGAACCCCACTTTTTCAGGGCTATCCTGGTTTTCCGACTTCTTGATCCCATTTACTGCCTTCTTTCGCAATAACTGTTTACTCGAATTCTTCTTTCCGACATAAAGTGCAAACCCATGATTACCACGTAGAAATCGGGCTTATTCCCAGCAGCCTATCCACTGAGTACGGGTTGGGCCACGGGCTATACCATATTAGCGCAAGGAAATTATACCTCTAATTCCCTTACTATCCACCCGCATTTTCCTCTAAAAATCCTCGCCTTCTACGCTAACACATTTTCACTCTAAACTCTATACGTTATTTAGTGAGAGAGACAGATTACTATTGAGCAACATTCAAGTGAAGTGCCAAGTTAGTTGAATATAAACTCACCATCTCGCTGATCACGAAGATGTTCGACGGAGGCGACGACGTCCAGTTGGCGAACACCTTTCAGAAGACGTCCACATAGGAGATCAACAGCACAGAAGACACCTGTTCGACCGGCTCCATCCCATGAGTGCACTAACACCGGTGACGCACGACCACGATATGACTTGTTCACTTTGCTGAAATGCATAATTACTGTTAATTACTGTAGTGTGGTTACTGCAAAGATTGTTTGCTCACGACCGATTGTGAGTACAATGAGGCACACCAGCTCATTTATCCCTTGGGTCCCATTGTTTCTATTTTCGCCCTTTGCTTTGCGCCCAACAAAATGCTCATTCAGCATACTCCCAGTACGATAGTACAAACTTCTTCTTTTTACTCGCTCCTCTGTTCTACCTCACTTTTATCACTTTTTACTGCTAAAAAACTTCACTTTCCGCATTTACGGCAGACCTTCGACTTTCTGGAGTCTAAGCACTTCTTCTTCTTCTTCTTCTCCCCTATTAAAAACCACGCCTTTTACTCTAACACCTTGTCGCCTCTGCAGTCTACACTTTATTTACGGAGAGAGACAGACCGATTTAAGTCTAATCACGAAATCTAAAAGGCGCACCATTTCTTAGAGCGACGCCTTTTTCAATCGATTCATTACCTTTTTGGCTACCTCTTTTTCTTTTTTTTCACTTATTGCCCTCGCCACTCGATGTCCCTCCAGACTTGTCTTCTTCGTTTACACCTGTACCTTATGCGAGCCTTCCCTGTTCTCAACCTCATTGTCTGTTCGTATACACGCTCTCTCTAGGTACGCACGAAGTCATCGCCTTACCGTCTGAATTCGATGAGACTCTTTGGACTAGATGGTGTCTCGCCATGTTTCCAGGATAAGTAGTGGAATTGGGTGATGGTACGTGTCTGACCATTGCGAAGATTCTTCAGGTAGAACGAACGCACGAGGTAGTCATCGCTCCAAATGTGTTCCGAGACGAGATGAATCTTCAAAAAATGTGGGTTCAAACTGTTCAACCGAGCAATTCGTGTAACTATTTTTAGATAGCCGAATGAAATTGTGCTACCGTAATCCGTAAGCACATAAGAGTCTGAAGAAGAAGTTACCACCTCAAATGGACCATGCACTTCGGAGCCGGACTCGGGCCAATAGCTCTTCTCCTGCTTGCATTCTTCGATTGTGGAAAGATTAACGATCAGACAAACTCCATGCTGCCAAATCGCCTGCCAGAAAGACGCCAAATCTTCACCACGGCGGTGTTTGCGCTGCGATGTAAACTGGTTGTCTGGAATGGGCGTTATTCGGCATTTTTTGAGCTCTTTGATTCAGATTAGCTAAGCGTTTGAGGCAAGCTCCAGCCTACCTCGGGTCATCGTCATAAATGAAGCTCGCATTCAGATACTCAGTCTTTCCGTCCTCCCATGAGTCAACAGGGACGAGGCTTTCATCAACTGAAAATGAATGGGAATAACACCGAAACATCAAGAAGTTAATTAATGTGATAGAAAGGGAAGTTAGAACGAACAACGATATGTAAGATAAGGACGAAAATGTACTTTTCTTAGTGCCCCTTCTGCATTTTTCACTCCCTCACCGCCCCTCCCCCTACTTGCTCGACGACCAATTTTCAGGGAAAAAGTGGGCGGAGTTTGAGAAGATCATTCATTTCGAAATCAGTGCTGAAACTGCCTCTTGTGTTGAGGGTGCTGGTGCGAGTCGGTGAGGTCGTAGGGAATCCTTCCAAGGTTGGTGATGAGGGCCGTGTTGAGAGGTACCACGACAGGAGGCCCGTCGCGCGGAAAAAGGCAGAGTCAGCGGACGAGTCGCAGCGCGTACTGTAGTGATTTCGCGTCAAGTTAAATAGAATGTACCATTGTACGTCCTACATCGCACATCACGCGCTGCGACTCGTCCGCTGACTCTGCCTTCTTGCCGCGCGACGGGCCTCCTGTCGGTATCCCATGTTGAGACCCCATTATGGGAGGGGGAATAGTGAAAGCTGGGTCTATTCCAGTTAGGGGGCATCATGATGCAGTTTTTCCAGAAAGCTAGGGTAACTCCGAGCCAGGGGGAGTGTAGCCAGTCTAGGGGGTGGGGGTGAGGGCAGTCACTTGACATGCGTGAAAAGCTGGAATGTTCGAGTTCACACTAGTTCGCCGAGAAACTGCATCATGATGCCCCCCTAACTGGAATAGGCCCTGAAAACTTTTGAAACCCGGCACAGTGGACGGTTGACACTGAATGGAAGGCTTGATAATTGCGGTGGAGATTTGACCCCGGATTTGAGCCTCATCCGCGCCTGTCCCCCGGTTGGCCCTCCTTCGAAGATGTTTCTTTACTTATTCTGTCAATTAAAAACCTATCTTTGACTGCTTCTTTTTGCAGAAAATTACATGTATAATCTTTAAAAACCACCTTATTTTATGAGAACCTCAGGGGAGAGTTGAAAACGTCAGGATAATCCAGCCCTGACACACCATTCGTGATGTAAATCTTTCGTTAAAACGTATAGTGATCGTGTTGCGAAATGAATCGGATAAACAAACTTAACGGTTTTTAATTAATCGGGAATGGTCGTCGCGAACAACATGTGGACGGGGCATCTCCCTTCAAAAGCGTGAACATATTCGGGCAAGACGCGGACCACAGTGTCGTTAAGTTCGAAAAAGGTTATTAAATGCGCAAAACCCGTCAATGCGAGGTGATGTCATTCGTCGTCC